TTTTTGTAGACATGAGGAGGGTGGCACGGTGGATCAGTTGGTAGAGCTGTTGCATCTCAACATGAAGGTTGCCAGATTGAATCCCGGCCCTGGGATCTTTCTGGGTGGAGTTTGCATGTTCTCTCCTTGCATGCTTGGTTTTTCTCTGGGTACTCTGGTTTCCTCCCACAAACCAAAAACATCATGTTACATGCATCATGTTAGGTTGATTGGTAACTCTAAATTGTCCCTAGGTGTGAGTGAGAGTGAATGGTTGTTTGTCTCTATGCGGCCCTGTGATGGACTTGTAACCTGTTCAGGGTGTACCCTGCATCTTGCACAGTGACTGTTGGATATGGACATCAGTGACCTCCATGACCCGAAAAAGAAGAAGAAGATAAAGATTATGTGTGGATGGATGGATGGATGGATGGATGGATGGATGGATGGATGGATGGCAACATGAGAACTTCAAAATGAAAAATGTACCAAGTTTAAAGATTCCTTTCCAAAAATACATCAGTTTGTAATTGGTGCTAAAAGACTAAACTTCATAGCCAGTGGTTAATCTAATGCTTACCCCTAACCTTCAGCTCATAACTTAACCCCATTCGCACAGAATTAGTTTTTTTCAGGGACCACATGCTATTTGTAATAATTACGAAGAATGTCTGTGTTGCTAATCCCGTGCGAATCGGCCATGTCAGTAATTTGTAAAGTAAAAATTCCTCCACAAATTACCTACTATATTTTCTGAACTCCAAGGTCCTGTAATAATACTAACCCAATGCAAATAGGCATCTCTGATTTGGACAGAAATGGGCGGGATCCGATGCGTAACGAGGCGATTTTTGTTTTTGTTTAAGCAAAATTATTTGGAAAAATATAGAACAAGGCTATTTTAAATGAACGTGCTGCTCGCTTCTGCTTTTGTAGATGCTATTACTTCCGTCACCGCAGATGACGCCAGGTGTGGAAACGCGCATGTGATCAGCTGACCCATCCATCCATGAATCCATTATATTTACCTGCTTCTTCCTTTTCGGGTAGCAGGAGTCGCTGTTGTCCATGTCCAGGTCGCAGTTTGATAGATTAGCTGGTTTCTCAGAAACCTTCTAATCGCTCTCAAACTGCTTGGTCCACTTAAGGAGTTTACTGGTTTGTGGGGAAACAGTTTACTTGGAGCTCCTCAGACTGATGAAGCCCTCTGGATAGAGGGTGAAATGTCTCTAGAAAAAAAAAAAGAAAAAAAAGAAAGAAACTGTCCAGATGACCTGAGGTCATGAGGTGGAATGAAATTATGTACACAGGGTCCCATTTACGGGCAGCACGGTGGCGCAACTGGTAGAGCTGCTGCCTCTCAGCGAGCAGGTCCTTGGTTCAAACCCCGGTCCAGGGGCCTTTCTGGGTGGAGTTTGCATGCGTGGGTTTTCTCCGGGTGCTCCGGTTTCCTCCCACGGACCAAAAACGTGCATGTTAGGCTGATTGGTAACTCTAAATTGTCCCCAGGTGTGCATGAGAAAGTGAATGGTTGTTTGTCTCGTTTGTCTCTATGTGGCCCTGTGATGGACTTGCGACCCATCCAGGGTGTACCCCGCCCCTCGCACAGTGATTGCTGGACATGGGCACTGGCGACCCCCGTGACCCAAAATGGAATAAACGGGTAAAGATAATGGATGGATGGATGGTTCCCATTTACATCCAACAATAGCAAACTATAAATTGTAAAAAGAAACAGTAGAAAGGATCTAAGATATAAACCAAGAAATACGCTAAACTAAGAAATACGCTAAACACTAATAGTGCAAAACAATATGCCGAACAGCAGCACAAATGTGAGTCTGTGTGAGCGGATGAGTACGAATTAATACAGCAGCATGAAATAATCAACGGCATGAGATCAGCAGCATGGATAATCAGCAGCACATATCACCAATCAAAGTGGCATTACATTGATTTTTTTTTCACAGTGATAACCCTGATTAGAGATTAATGAGTCTAACAGCCTCAGGGTAGAAGCTGTTCCCCAGTCTAGTGGTTCTGCACTTAACCTCCTGCCTGAGGGGAGCGGAGCAAAAAGTGTGTGTGCTGGGTGAGTGGGGCCCTTCGTGATGCAAAGTGTGGGTGTCTGACCACCGATTCACAATTTTTCTGGTACATGGCCAGTCTGTTTCGCTAAGTTACATTTCTGCTGTTGTAAATGGGTTCTGCAAAAGGGGAAAGCATTAAAGCATTAGCATTATGTCAGCATATGTGTCAAGTCTGATGATGTGTCCTGACCATGTAGTCTGACTGTTGTCTTGTATTGCATATGATTTATAACAATGCAATCATTCAAAGACTGAATAAACTGATCTCAGATGATAGATATGGCATACAGGCCATCATTTGATGAGCCCAGATCTAAATAGTGGTACCTGCAATTCATTCTTTTTGTAAATTTTATTTAAAATTTACACATACAGAAAAGCACAAAATCCAAAAAATCTGTTAAAGATCACTCTGAAATGTAACAAATGTGGAAAACTAAAGGGCGTTGGAAAGCTTTCCATTTGTCTTAAACATTTCCAAATCTAATTGACCTTAAGTGCACATAACTTCAGTTGCCTTGACTGATTGAATGATGCTTTATCAAAACCAGTGTATCGAAGATTTCTGTCACTTTGTTTCAGTTGGCAAGAATAAAGCGTCAAGATCTGGCAGTTTTCTTGCATCATATAGGACCTCTCACTGTGCTTTAGTCAATACATTATGTCTGAGCTCTCTCTCAGGTACTGCATTAGGAATTTTGCAACGAGCTAATCCTCTGAGGATGCAATCAATACTTTATGCCGAGTGCTCTTTGGCGCACCATGTAAGGAATCCCATCTGTCTTTTCAGCTGAGCCAAAAGGAGGCCGGTTAGGAGACACAGAGGAAGACCTTGTCAAGAAGATCAGACCTGATTTAAATCAGTCCAACACAGATCTATGTCATTAACTCTACCATTTAAGTTTCTGTGCCTAGTCTGGTTTAGTGGAGTTACTTCAAACATGGTTCCAAATATTACTAGTTCAAGAAGTCTTCCTTATATTCAGCCAGCAGCAAATTTCAGCAATTAAGTAAAGAATGAACTGAAAATTTCTGCTTCTTACCAGTGGGGTAGTCAGGACAATGTGGTAATTTACTGTTTCTGATGATAAATTAAAAACAGATTACACCCACATCAAATTTAAATCTATTATATTCAAACATGCTGGCAAATTTAATAGGTTAGGTTTTCTTCATCCTGATATGTACATGTTAACAATTCATAAACGTAGTTAAAAATGCAAATTCTAAGAAAGTGGCAATGCGTGACAAATCGATAATAATTAATCACAACGAACAAGTAGTCCTCAAAGGAAAGCATGGTGCCTGCTGTCTCCCATGTCAAAGTTTAAAGCAAAAAAGAAAAAGGATCCTGCGTGATCTGTCAGCACTCAGAATCCATTTTGTGGACTACTCTCAGTTACTACACTGCCTAATTTTAGCTCAGTATCTCTAAAATCCACAAAGCTATTTTGTGTTTGATGAAATTTATTAGCTGTAGTGACCATCTTAAACTGAAATGACTTGAAAAGTTACAGTTCTAGATGTCCCTCTAATGATTGCTTTGAGTTTCATTAAAACCTGTACATGTGGTTCATGAGATATTTTGCTAACAGATTGACTCCAAACAGTTAAAGCCAAAGTTTTATGTAAAAGTCTTGTGCAATCTGTTATCTCTCGGTGTCTGTTGGAAATTACTTTCTACCTTACCAAATTTTTGTTTTATTTCTGTAAAATTTTACCAAGCTAATGTCTTATTTGTGTTTGCTAATGCTAATTAGCTGTGGCAGCCATCTTGAATCTGAATGATTCCTGAATTATTTAGTCAGATGTAACATATAGCCTGATCATTACTTTTTTAAACAAAGTTCAGTCAGGTCATCTGGACGGTTTCTTTTTTTTATTTAGACATTTCGTCCTTCATCCAAAGGACTTCATCAACCCGAGGAGCCACAAACAAACTCAGTCCCACAAGCAGCACACTCTTATAATAGATCAACCAGTTTGCTGGTGATAAGATGATTTCTGGGGCCTGCCCTCTCCCCCGTTGACTCCTCTGAGGCAGCCATAGCCAAAGTGGTTCAAAACGTCAAAGTTCATGCTCAATAATCCAGGTAGAAAATTCAACAAAGTTCAGTCAGGTCATCTGGACGGTTTCTTTTTTTTATGAGATGTTTCAACCTTCATCCAAAGGACTTCTTCAGTTCAAGGAGACACAAACAAATGGCTATGGCTGCCTCAAAGGAGTCAACGGGGGAGAGCAAACTGCTTGGTCCACTATGGGAGTGTGCTGCTTGTGCGACTGGGTTTGTTTGTGGCTCCTCGGATTGATGAAGTCCTTTGGATGAAAGACGAAACGTCTAAAAATAAATAAATAAAAAAAGTTCAGATGACCTGACTGAACTTTGTTGGATTTTCTTCCTGGAATATTGAGCATGAACTATGACATTACTTTTTTTAGTCTTATTAAAATTTGTTCACCGAGATATTTTGCCGTCAGACACAGAGCACATATAAAGGAAATTAAATTATCATTAAGGGTTGGTTTAATCAATTAAAAGTTTATTAGAATTTAACTCTTAATTGATAAAATAGCTGAAAATCTCAAAAGTTGTCATTAAATTTTAATTTGTTGGATTTGATAAAAAATAAAAAATAAAAAAATGTTGGAGACGAGTTTGGTTTTAGTTTGAAAAGAACAACCGGAAGTTGCGCTTGTTCTTCCCGGAACTTGATAGTAGTAAGAAGACGGCGCTGTTTGAAGATGGGGAGGGGGGCTCAAAGTTTTGGTAAAAAGGGGGTTGAACGGAGGGCGCGTGTGGTTTCTTGGGAAAGTGGCCTCTGTGTGAGGAAGCCGAGTCTCCAGCAGAACCAGCAGCCTCTCTCTGGACTTTTAACCCAAGCAGCGCGTGTCCGTCCGGCTCGAACCTGCTCCAACATCTCCAGCCAACCATGAGGACGAACGTGTGGATTTACCAAACGTTGCTGTGTGTTCTGGTGGAGGTCCTGGACACAGGTAGGACTTCACACAGCTGGACTGCAGCTTTAATCCAATTAATTTGAACAAGGCTAAAATAAGAACAATTTAACAGGCATATTTAGCCAAAGTCATTTTTAACATTTGGCATATATATATATATATATATATATATATATATATATATATATATATATATATATATAAGCTATTCCACTTTATGACTTTCAATTATTTTTTCTTGCACTTAATACGTGAAATGTTTTTTTTCTTTTTATGTTTGTGCTATACATTTTCAGATTAAAATAAACTTGTCTTTAAAAAAAAAAATTAAAATTTAAATGTTCACAAATTTAACTGCAAATAGTCTAATAATGCAAAAATGTTTTTGTATTTCCACGTACTGTATAAAAGAACTGATTTTTACAGTTTTGTCACAAATTTAGGTGCAGCAAAAGCAGCAGCTGTATAAAATCTGCATCACATCTGCCCAGTTGACACCACTGGATCCGCAGATGGACTAAACAATCGCCTGATCGATTTTAATCGGTTGATTTGATTTAAGTCACTTAAAAATAACCAGCAGTTGACCATGCCAGTTGCCAAATTAGAAAATGAACACGCAGAAACAGTTACTACATAACGAAGCTCACAATTTATTATTTATTTTTTACATTTTTGCAAAAAAGCTCTATACATTAAGTGTACAGCAGCTTAACTTAAGCTATTATAGTTTGTAAAACAAAAACGACAACATAGTGATTCAATTGTAATTAAATCTGTGTCTTATATCGCCCCAAGTTCTAAAAATCTGCATGGCCACGGATAAAGTCACATCAGCTGAGCTTGAGGTGTGAATAGTCAAAGTATTTGAGCTCTCCTGATGGCAAGAGGTGCGAGTGAGACGGCAGAAAAGGGATGGAGAGGTGTGTTTGTGCGAGGTGGGTGGGTTCACATCTGGTACATTTGCACTCTGAAGCAGATGTCATGTCCCCCTAATTCCTCAGACACAGATCATACAATGCACTTCCCACCCCTTCGATCTAAAAACCAATACCGTTTAGGACAGTCACTGACACATGCATGACTAAAACAGCTTCTTCCTTGACGGAGCTACAAACAAAGTGTTTTAAGGTCAGGACCTCCACCTTTCCGTACTTTCACTTCTCAACCTAAACTCCAACCTGTTCCTCTTAATAAGTCTGCCTCTTTCCATTAACCCCCCCCCCCCCCCACCCACACACACACACACACACTTTTTATTGTTATCCAGCACTTTGGCAAATATTTAGGAGATAGCAGGGGTCTGAGTGCAAGGAGAGGAAGAGACTAGGTGAAATCTAATTGAGCGGCCTGGCCAGACATCAGGGCTGGAACAACACTGTGATGACTGCCAGATGTGGTCCAGTGGAGCCCAATCATTAATAACACGTCCTCCCCAAAAACCATTCTCGACCACGACAAGCCTCTAAACGGTCCACAGTTTACAATATCCTAAGTACACACCCGGCGTCTCATGTTGGCTCTTGGCAGAGGGGCGTGTGGTTGTAACTCAGTAGCAAAAAGACTGTCCTGAGTGATTTATATTGCACTTGCCAGTAATTATAAACTTTAAACGACTGGTGTAGCCTTCGAAATCTACAGTTACAGTAGCGCTCCATCCTGCTGAACCAAGAGCCCCCAACTTTTGGCTTAAAATATGATTTTGTCCTGTTTTTGAACCCACCGTGAGCCCATTGTGCCACATTTTTTGCGATGTTAAAACTCTCTTTTGATGTGCTTCCTCCAAAGAAATGGCTCCCGACAAAACACCATAAATAATTCAAGAATGAATTACAATGTGTCCGTTTGCGCCGCTGACAGTTTGACAGCTCATTTTTACCGTATGTTGGCGTGCGTTTTGCTTTCCAATGGCTGAAGGACTATACATTAAACATGACACGCAAAATGGATTGTTTATAAGGAATTCCAATAGGATTTTTTACGTTTTCCTTGGAAGCAGGATGGCTAAGTGAGAAAATATCATTCTAATTTCTTTAAAATAAATAATGAACCCAAAAGTCTAGTTGTTAAACGAGTTGTAAATGACTCTTTCAGGCTCGTGAATACATGGTAATGAAATCCTTTGGTTTTTTTTTAAGACTTATTTGAACTGTTTAACTGTAACTTGAAACTAGACCATTACAAATACCACAAAGTGGGAAAAATAGCATTAAGCTTTTTAAAAAGCAGTAAAATGAGTAATTTTCACGTCTCTTGCTGAAGAAACGCAGTTGATGAGCTTCACTTTGTCTCTTTGGTTGTCATCACACGTCAGCTTTTGTATTTACTTTGGTTTAAAGCAGAACTGCTGGGTTTGTGGTTAACGGAGGCACTTTAATGGGGTATTTATTGGCGAAAATACTTTTAAATTTGGAATTTTAACTAAAAACAATCTACTCAGACTGTAATTAGACTTTGAATGCAAGGTTTTGTCGTGCAGCTGTGTACACAAGGTACATTCGTGTTTTGAGATGTGACAAAAAGCTCTTTTTTCAAAAATAAGTTTTGATTTTCAATGTGCAGAAAACTGCCCAACTCCAGCCCAGCAGGTGGCAGTAATGCAAAGACTAAAGCTAGTATAACCATGTGCAGTAAACTTACTTTTTTTTTTTCTTCATTTTGACCAAGGTACTTGTGATGGAAAACTATTAAAGTATTTACCAGTTTATAATGAAATGCATGCACATTGACTGTATTATAAAATATGGGTAAACAATGTTGAGGAAAAAACGGTAAGAATACACACAGTAATGGTTCTAACAACTAACTTAATACTTAGAAAACAACTTGCATGTAAATAAAATAATAATTTTTGCTTTTTTTTAACCAATAGACTGGCAGTTGCTTGAACATTTGCAAATAAAAAATATAAGTCCTAAACATTAGGAAGGTTTAGAACGTCACAGGAAAAAGTTAAGTTCCCTCAAGTCCGTTGTACTGTTCCATCTGACTGAACCCACAAAGGTTTTCAAATATGTCTTTCTGAGAAAAGCTCCTGCATTGAAAACAAAATGAGTGCCAGCTGTTAGTGCAGCACCTATTATTATCCACCTAACAAGGGTTTCTTAACTTTATATCTTACGCTTCCGTCAACTTGAATGCCACCTGTACCGCATTGTGTACCCCCACAAATATTCCATCAAAACGACCGGATCGGCATCGTGATGTGTGCTGTTACTTTTATTGGCGTGTTGAGTTACCATGGCGACATAATTTGCAAACAAAGAAGGCAGCTTTATTAGACATTTTTCAAGGAATCTGGTTGCAAATCAAATATTGAAGATGGTCACTTGAGCTAAAAAGGAAAACTAATATAAATCAGCCATTTTTAGAGACGCTAAGCTGAAATTTGGTATGGTGCGCAATGCAATGCCCAATAGTGAACAAATAAATAAATAAAATAAAGATGGCCACCAAAGCTACATTTAAATGACTGTAACTCAGCTGTTTTTACACGTATAGAGATTAAATTTGGTGTGGTTATGGCTGAGAACTTTCTCCATCACACTGAATCCAAATAATAATCATAAAAAAAAACACAATGGTCACCATAGCTTAAATAATGACTATAACTCGTTGATATTTTTACATTTTAAGCTGAAATTTGGTGTAGTGGTAGCTGAGAGTGAACCCCAACACATAGTACTGGTACTGTCAAATTAAATATTTAAAGTGGCCGCCACGTGGCAGTCCTCGCCAAAGTTTCTCTAGGAACCTTCTAGTTTACAAAGTTTACAAACATTGTTCGTGATTGACAACTCAAAGTGCCCTACGATTGCAAGTTCGACCAAGTTGGAGGACAGCACTTATTTACTCATTAAATTAGGGTGGAAGATGGTCATCCATCCCACCTCCCACACGTCCAAGTCGTAAATGATGATGATGAAGTCTGTCCTTCTGGTTTGCAGGTTGCTGTCAAAAGCCTCGTCGTCAGTTTTTACAGAAGTACGAGAAGACGGAGAGCCATGTTCTGGTTTGCACGGACTGTCCTTTGACTCCACTGGTACAAAGGAGCCGCTCGCAGGAGCACTGCGCCCGAAAGTGCATGAAGCTAAAGAAAAAATTCAGCTGCAGGTGAGTCACATTTCTCCACTTCTCTGGAATCTGTTGGTTTCTCCGTAACTACGTCCATCCTCACCCCCCTCGCTCCGTCTTTCCTTCAGGGTCCCTCATAGTATTTACATATTTTTGCTGTTTATCATTCGGTCATCTTTGAACGACTTCCCGTGTGCTCCTGACAGGGCTTTCAACTTTCAAAGGCACAACAGGAAATGCCACTTGCTTCCTTTTGACCGTTTCACCCACGGTGTGCAGAAGCAGGCCAACATCAACTTCACTCTGTACGAGAAAAAAGGTAAATGTTCCCGTTCTCAGAGGCGACGGCTTTTGTGCTTTGTAGGATTTACACAGGCAGGCTGTGTGATCTTCGGCTCATTTGTTGATATAATTAAAGAGCCGAACCGCCTCATGCTGTTTAATCATTCTGGTGAAGAAAGTCATTGCCTAAACATGTAGCAGACTTAAGGAGTGTAAACAAAAAAAAAATCATTGTTTACAGCCAAAGCGCAAGAACTTTCCACAAGCGCAGGCTGTGGAATCTAGCACTTCAAAATTTATTGCAGAATTTATGAACGCTTCCCTCTGTGACATTTAATGAACTTCAGAAACTTGTCTGGTTTGGGAAGAACATGTTGGAAGCTCCTCTTGACCATACTTGGGAAACTCATGCTTAAAATGGTCAAGGCAAAGCAAATTTTAATCACTATGTAAACTGGCACAGAGGGAGAACGCATGGATGGTTGCTTTCAAAAGTTTTTTTTTTTAATGCTTTTGTACTCAGATTACATAAGGGAGTGCATCGCTGACACCAAGGACAACTACAGAGGGAGGAGATCTTGGACAAAGTCAAACATCACTTGCCAAGCTTGGTCTGATAATAACATCAATGAGCACACGTAAGTCATGTTTTTACTAAAGAAAATCACTGACAGGTGCAATGAAACTGTCACGGATAGCATTATTTTCCGGTTTATTGGGAAGCTTAAAAGGAATCACCGCCTTATATGCCAAAGTTTTAAACACAAATTTTGTTCAATCTTTTTTAGTGATCCAATTATGTGTTGAGGGTAACGCTCAGCTTCAACTACACCAGGGGTCTGCAACCTTTACGATCAAAAGAGCCATTTCCTCTCTTTCGTTCAATAAATTAAACGTGTCCATTTGTTCAACCTTTTATTTAGCTGCAAAATCAGCTACAATTATTATCAACTGGTGGCCCATGGGCCACTTAAAGTTTGTTCGATGGGGCTTTTCTACGGTGGCCCTGAGGTGTAAATGAACAACATTTAAAAAAACAGAATTACATTTGGAAAAAACAATAAAAACACAACAACATTTGAAAAAAACGGAATTACATTAAACCAAAGCAGAAGTGGCCAAATCGGAAGTGGATGGAATCACATTTGAAAAAAACGGAATCACAGTTGAAAAAAACGGAATTACATTAGAAAAAAAAACGGAATCATTCAAAAATTATATACAGGTGATTAACTTTTTTTTCTAATATGATTCTGTTTTTTTCTAATGTGATTCCATTTTTTTCAAATGTGATTCCAGCCACTTCCGATTTGGCCACTTCCCTTTGGCTTAATGTAATTCCGTTTTTTCAAATGTTCTTCATTTACACCTTAGGGCCACCATACTTTTCTGGTCAGTAGACTTGAAATTATCAAATTAAAAACCTCCAATGATTGTTAACATTTATTGATATTTTTATATGTTGAGACAAAAGAAAAGATTGGATTCCATCCTCCCATCCTTCCTTCCGTCCGACCATCCATCCATTATCTTTACTCGCTTCTTCCTTTTCAGGTTGCAGGGGGTTACTGGTGCCTTTTTTTTATTTAAAAAAATAAAATTTGTTTGTTTTTAATTGTGGAGAAATTGAGTATCCTACTTTGAAGCAATAAAGCATAAAGTTAAAGTGAGTATAATATACTCTGTGTATTAGTACTAGTATCCACATATTTGCAAAGGAAATGACAAGAAAACTGCCAAAAGTAGACATTTTTGTTGTGGGTGTAACATCCTATAAAATTCAGTTTTATGTTAGTTTTGGTCAAAGCTTTAAAGAGCCGCTGCAGAGGGACCAAAGAGCCACATGTGGCTCCAGAGCCGCAGGTTGCAGACCCCTAAACGACACCAACTTTTAGCTCAACGCCTCTATAATAGACTGATGTAAAGCTCTCTGTGTTTGCTAAACTTGATTAGCTGTGACGGTCATGATTGTGTTTTTAATATCCAGCCAGTGGTTCATGTCTGTGTGTTTCCTTTCATTTACTCCGTTATTTTCCTAATAGATAAAGTGAAACACAAGCAATTACATGATCGCCCAGCTTTGGTGGGTGGCGGGGGTTAAAGGTCAACATCACACAGTCACTTATCACTTTAAAGTTGCAGCGACTTGCCAAAAAGCTTTCCCAGCAAACGTTTTCACAGAGAACGTGCTAATCATTCGCTTCCTCTCGCTAAATTCCTCTCGATTTAAACCCAAACCCCTCAAAGCTCCTATCTGCTTCATGCGTCCACTTTGTTCTGTTTCTTTCTTTGCTTCCAGGATTCTCTTTTTCTGTGTGCCTGATGCTGAACAGACCTCAGCGTTTGATTTATTGTTGCTCAGTTCATCCCCTTCCACCTCGGGGGTTAAGGGAAGGTGGAGGCTCGGAGACAGTTGAACGTTTATCCAAAGTTAAGTCAGATTTCTTTCAGCACATGCAGGGATGTCCTCCCAGATGAGTTCCCCCGCACCCCCACCCCCCTGCACTGGAGGCCATCAGGTGTATTCCAAAGATGTTTTCTCTCAGCTACAGTAAGAGGAGATCAGTGGACCTTTGCCAGCGTCTCATTAGTGGCGCTCATTAGTTACAAGATATTTTACCCGTGGCAGAATGGGGGAGTCGGCAGAGGGAGGAATAATAGTTAGAAGAGGTGCAGAGTGAAAAGTAGAAGGGGAACTGAATGAAATAAAGGCTCAAAGATTTATAGACTGAAGTCATGTTTTGTCCAAGGTCCATATAGGTTCATGGAGAGAAAAATGCAGTTCAACCGATTCCTTACAATTAAACGGGTCCACAGTGTCGGCCCTCGCCTCTCCTGCTCTGCTCCAGAACTGTCATCACTTTCCAGGAGCTGTGGTTAGCACTCCTTTGTCATCGTTTATTTGACACATGGTCCCAATAGTCTTCGCAAAAAGACCAGAGCTTTTATCATCTTTAGCTGTCACCATCTTTAAAAGTTTGCAAAGGGTCTGCAACTGAAGGATTAAGGGAGTTATGTAACATTGAAGCGTCCCGCTGTGTGAGAATTAGCATCGTAATGAACCATTTGGGCTTCAGGTAACTATTATTTTCATGCTCGACTGATCACCAGTCAGGAGGGGGGTTTCTCAGGAGGTTCCCGTCCAGGAGCTGGACTTCCACCTGTTGTTTCTGTTTGTGGGATCAACCAGGCTTCAGACAGAAGGGATTCCCAGACAGAGCAAAACAAAAATACAGAACGCGATATTGGATACGTAGCACAATGTTGCAACTAATTACTAGGAACAAGCGCATATTCAGCTTGAACCTGGATTTCAAGTGGAATTAAGGACAATTCAATTCAGTTTATTTATATAACACCAAGTCACAGCAGAAGTTGTCTCAGGGCACTGAACAGAAACATTCACATGTAAAAATAATAATTTAACATTATTTAGCTGAGGAGCAGACTGCATTGAATTTAACTCCATCACAGAACTCTCATCTTGAGCATGAAGGCGACAGTGGAAAGGAAAAACTCCTTGATGAAAAAGAAACCTTTAGCAGAACCAGGCTCAGGACAAGAGACCATCTGCTTCGACCGGCTGGGTTTGAGAGGAACAGATACACAATGGCAGATCAAGAATTACATATAGAAATCGTATTAATGAAAACTATTCATTTGTAACAGTTCATTATAAGAAATGAGGTCAATTTGTCCTCCAGTAGTCTAAGCCTATGGCAGCATAACAAGCCAACCCTAACTATAGGATTTATAAGGAAAGCCTTAAACCCAGTCTTAAAACTGGACAAGGTGTCAGCCTCATGGACAGAAACTGGAAGTTGGTTCCACAAGAGAGGAGCCTGATAACTGAAAGATCTTCCTCCCATTCTGCTCTTGGAAACTCTAGGAACCACAAGTAAACCTGCAGTCTGAGAGCGAACTGCTCTGTTGGGAAAATATCAAACAATAAGATCTGTAATATAAGATGGAGCTAGGTTGTTGAGGACTTTGTAGGTTAGAAGTAAAGTTTAGTAATCGGAAAGAAGTAGTAACTGGAAAATTTTGTTTGAATGTGTTTTTATTTAGTGAAACATGGGATTTTATACATTTTCACATAAAAGAAACAGACATTTTAAATAATTTGTCATTTTAAGAGAAATGATCATTTTGTTTTGTGTCTGTTCATTCCCAAAATATCTCACAAACCACTAGACGTATTTTAAAGAAACTTGCATAAAGTAGTCATTTTATCTACATCTGATTTAATATTTGGGGTCAACACGATCCAAGATGGCTGCCACCACTAACAGACCTTAACAACAACAAAAAAAGGCTATAACTCAGTCACTTTTACAAATATTGACCTAAAGTTGTGTATGGTAGAGGCTGAAACTAATTCCTAGTAGATAATTTAGGCACTGACTGGTTGTGCAAAGTCCTTGTTTAAAATGTTGCCAATAAATGTTTAAAGTCAACTCTGTCTGTTAGCAAAAGATCTTACGAACCACTGGGTGGATTTTAATGAAACTTCCAAAACATAAATGGGGGTATCTGAGTTAGTTTTTGCAATATAAAAGTGCATTTAGCAAAATAAATAAAGCTAATTGAAGTTAAATTGCTTCATATTTATTTAGAAGACATAAATAAGGATTTTTCATTTCTTACCCAACAGGTTTTAAATAAAATACTAGTTGTTTTGAACACACGGGACAATTTGGGACTTGTTCTTGCCATAATCATCAATCAAGACGGTGCATGATGTGTTGGAGGCACTGAATCTCCTAAAACACCTGGTTTGGAGTTTTTTTTTTTTTTTCAATTATTTTATTCTCAACATCAGCAGGAAATATTTTGGCATTCTGCTTGTTCAGCTCTAAAACATAAACGAAGCAGCTGCACTGACGTTTATCACCCATCAGCTGCCTGAAATGATGCTGGTCTTCTTTTGGAGACACGCCTTCAAAGAACCATTAAAATAGACAGGAAAACAAAAAGAACTGCAGCAAGATACAAAATACGAGAGACCCCCCCCCCCCCCCCCCCCCCCCACACACACACACACAAAATAGCATTAAAGAATTAAAGATTGAAGAAATTATGAAGCTGTAAATGTTTAAATTCCTTTTCTAGACACTTTTCACACGCTTGGATGTTGTCGGATTAGGCGCCATGTTTCATCCACCAGATGCGCTCAGTGCAGTTACTTCAGGCCCAGATTTCAGCCTCGCCGAAATCCAATATCCAGCCAACGTGTGTAGTCGTTCTGGAGGAGGAAGCATGTGTGCAGTGTTGGCCTGCGCTCCGACGGGAACAGACTTTGGCAAGGAGGAGGAAAACTGGCCAACATCTGTTAGCACAACATCATTACAGCTAACTCGCTCCCATGCTGCAGCCTTTTTCACAGTCTTACCACATGCAGCCTTCTTTTCGTTTTGCAAAGTGAAGAAACTTGTCATTCCATTTGTAAATTAAGAATACCACATTTATGATAAAGACCTACATGAGCTTGTGACTTACACACAACAGATGTGATCTTTGGCCTGAGGCAGAGAGCTGTTTTAGAATGTTTTAGTTTCATGCATACATGAAACATTTCGACTGGATCAAAATATTTTTCAGCATAAAAGTACTATTATGTGCTTTATGCTTTTTCTCATTTCTTCTGTATTGATTTTGTTAAATGATTCTAATGTTAATGATGTGTGTTGCAGAAACCTTTTAATGAGCTTTAGAGGCAATGGGTTTAAGAGAAAAGGGAAAAGACACAGAAAAACACAAACTGGTTCAGGTGTAGTTTCTATGGAGGAGAACATGGCAGACGGTAACTAGATACATTGTATTTCCTATGAAAATGCAGTGTGAATGCTTATTGCAGAAGAACTTGCTTAAAAACTGCTGAAATGTAGCTGAAATGAATGAGTAAGCCTAAATTACCATAAGAAAGCAGAAAGAACACATATTTGCTGAATTAGGTTTGAATAAGCAGAAATGAGCATGAAAAATAGGACATTAGCTAAAAAGTCAAAATTAGCAAAAATAGCAGAAAAGTAGCTGAAAAGTCAGAAAAAATGTTGATACTACCAGAAGAGAGCATAAAGATCTGAAATGAGTTTAAAATGGTGTGATTAGCTGAAAAAGCTAAAACTAGCATAAAGCAGATAAATAGTAGCTGAAATTGCAGAAACTAGCAGAAAAAAGCTGAAATGAGCATAACAAGCTGAAATTAGCATAAAGAAGTTAACTAGGCTGAAAGTGAACAAAGTTCATGTTCAAAGAAATGACCACAAAAAATTAATTTATCCAAATACTGCTAAAATTAGCTAAATATGATTAAAAAAAAGGTAGCTGAAAGTGTCAAACAAGCTTAAATTAGCAGAAGAAAGCAGAAAACAGGTTTGCCCAATTAAGCTGAAAGGAGAACAAAATGAGCACAAACAATGGAAATTATCTGAAAAAAGCTGAAATTGGTAAAAAAAAATAAAAAAAAATAAAACCGCTGAAAATTATGGTATATAAAAATGCAGAAAGAAGCTGAAATTAGTGGAGAGAGCACATTTTTGTTGAGTTGAGCTGAATAAAGTTGAAATGAGTGCAAAAAAAAAAAAAAGAAATAACTGACAACGCTAAAATTGGCATAAAACATTTAAATGGTAGCGGAAATAGCAGAAAAAAATGAAACTTTCTGAAAGGAGCTTAACAGGCTGAAATGAGAAGTAAATTAGAAGAACCACAAAAATGTTATAGTTAGCAGAAAGAATCAGAAAGGAGCACAAAACGGCTGAAAAAACATCCAAAATTTTTCAGTCGGGTCAT